GTGTGGAGTTGTATAGTTGGTGCGGGTATGTAGCACATCTTAATTTCTTTTTTTCATTCCATTTCCCTTCCCTCTTTTCCCCTCTACCAGTCTCTTGGTCACTCTTTTTTTTGTACATGTCCTTGTGTTTAAGTGATTTTTTTAAACTTCGGGGTTACATTCTATGATAATTTTAAAGGAATAATGCAGATAATCATCCTATCTAACATCAGAGCGTCAACATCTGTGAGCATGTGCGTAGCTCATGCCAAGTTGCTCAGCATTTCTCTACCCAGCGGCAGCTGTCACTTTCAGTCAGGTCACTGTGGCCTGGTCCTTGTAGTCCTTTTGCTCCTTATATGAATATATTCACTCTGTGCATTGTTTCTTGTGACATGAATACCATAGAGCTCGTTTATCTTTCCCATTGTGGATATTTAGGATGTTCCCATTGTTTGGAACATATTTCATTGTCACAAAGGAATCTCATCCCCACTGTCAGTTATTGCCTATTCCCCTCCAGGGCCCACCTCCCTCGTTCCTGTGCAGCCCCACAAGTGCTTTCTGTTACCATGGCAAACGCCCATGGCAATGCACTTGTGGTGGCCCATGGCCCATGGGCTCCCTCTGTGATGGTCCCATGGGGGTGTGCTCTTGCTTTGGCTCTTCCCTGGTCTGTCTGTTTCTTGACTGCTACGGTCAGCCTTTCTCTGACATGCCTCTGCCATACCATTTCTGCCTTGGAGCCAGCCAATGATGGACTGAACCCATAGAAGCTGTGAGCAAACTGACTTCTCTTCCTGTATGTTATGTGGTATCAGGTATATTGTCCCAGTGGTGAAAAAGTGACTAAGATACTGAAGAAGTTCTCTTTTATCCCTGGGTGTGTGTGCATCACAGATGGACACTGAATTTTTGTAACTTTCTCATTTTTTTGGAAATACAGAGATTGTCTTGTTTGTTTTTATTTTATTGATATGGTATATCACATTATTTAATTTGTAAATGTGAAAGCAGCTTTGCATTCCTGGTATAACTCTCACATTGTTATATTGTGTAATCTTTTTTATATATTCATAGTGTCTTAGTTACTTTTCTCTCATTCCTGAGACAAAATACCCGACATCCAAAATTAAGGAAGGAAAGGTTTATTTAGTTTATAGATTGTGGAGGTTTCAGTCTGCAATCAGCTGGCCCCAAGGCAGGGTGGCAGGGCACAGGGGCAACACTTCAAGGTGGCAGGAGACAGCAGAAGCAGCAAGAGCAAAAGAGGGGAAGAGCAAGCCTCTTTTCCTCCCTTATATTGTAAGCAGGCTACCCACCCTGGGGTCCACTATACCCACATGATATCTGTGCCCTCATCCTGCACAGGCTCAGGATGTTTACAAAGTGAGGACCCTGGCACCCTGCTAAGTCACTTAATTAAACTTGTAGACTTCTCAAATTAACACAATGTATCAACCAATACACATAGATTGTTTTTTTTTTTTTTAATATTTTGTTGAGGATTTTTGTATCTATATTCCTAAGAGACATTGGTCTATAATTTTCTTGTGTTATCTTTGCTTGGCTTTAGTATCAGAATAAAGCCAGATCTATACAATGATAAATGTTCTTTCTTCTTCAGTTTTTTTTTTTTTGTCAAAGTTTATGAATAACTGTATCTTTTTTCTTTAAGATTGGCTGTAATTCATCAGTGAAACCATCTAGACATGGCATTTTCTTTGTGACTAGTTTTTTTCTTGATTTTCAATTTAAACTATGTACCTGTTATAGTTCTATTTATATTTTTATTTCTCCTTGTGTCAGCTTTGGTAATTTGTGTCTGTTTCATCTCAGTTATCTGAAGTGTTATCATTTGGCATAGGTATTAAGAGTCCCTTACATCCTTTTTAATATTTTCATTTCTGTAAGGTCAGTAGTAATGTCTCTCATTTCATTCCTGCTTTTGCAAATTTGAGTCTTCTCACTTTTAAAAATCAATCTAGCTAAAATTTAACACTTTTATTTACATTTTCAAGGAAACAACTTTTAGTTTTATTGATTTTCTCTCTTATTTCTCTACTTTTTATTAATTTCTGCTGTACTCTAAATTTTCCTGGATTTTTGTTGGATTTAGTTTGCTCTTTTCTCCTCATTATTTTAGGGTGAAGATTAGGTTATTAATTTGAGAACTTTAGTCTTTTTAAATAAATGACATTATAATTATAATTTTGGAGCTCATTTATCATTCCCATTGTGGATATTTAGGATGTTCCCATTGTTTGGAACATTCACTGTCACAAAGGCCCGCCCCGTCAACCTTTTATCTTGATGGTACCGCTATGTACCTGCTCCCTTAGACTGACTGCAGAGACTGGTTACACCAGCTTCCTGCTGTGCCAGAAATATCAGCTGTGCTTTCTGCCTTCCTTTCTGTCTTCCTTTCTGCCAGGTATTTCTTCTGGCTGATGGGCCTTTTGCCTCTCCCCTGCAGCAGATCCCAGCCCCAAGTGAGGTGCGTGCCTGGCTTTAGGCAGAATGGGATGCTCATTAGGTTCTCGTCCTGCCTTTGCTTATAGCATTATCATGGCATCTGCCGTGCGGGATGTAATATAGCATCCTGCCCTTTGCTGCAATCTACTTCTGGGATCTCTTACTGGATAAGCACTGGCTTGTATGGTATCCAGAAGGTATGTTATAATTGCTGGTAAAATAAATGAATGCTTCTCAGGTAGAAGAATATCTTCTACAGTTGGGTAAGAACTATTAGAGAACCGAGGCCTGGCGTGGAGTCACTTCCCCGTCCCTCACTGACAGATGTACGTTGAACCTCACATCTCACTCAGCCCCACCCTGTGCCTCTTTCTGTTCCCTGCTCCCTAGGGAAATCCTTCCTGACCAATCAGGCTAGACTGGGTTCATTTCAGACCTCTGTCTTTCAGAATGTGCTGTGATATAATTTATTAAATATTTGTGAAATTATCTTTTTTATTTCTGTCTGTTCTGCTTGAGTCCAGGTTCCACAAGAGGATGGTTTTCTATCTCTGCACAGTGGTTTCCTGGCCCCTTGCCCACAGCCTGGCCTTTAGCCAGAATTCAGTAGATACTTACGTCTTTGGACAAATGAGTAACAGCAGCCACAGATATTTTCTGTTGTTGTTTGGTATTTGCTTTCTATGTTTTGGTTGCCAGCTTAATTATGGAGGCATTGCAACACATGACCATGTATTTAACAAACTCATAAAGAACGTATGCTATGGACCAAAAGCTCTTTTGGCAGTAGCATGCAGAGCTCCTTAAGACATGTTCTCATCCAGCTAGATATTTATACTCAAGTCTGGAGCTGAAGAGTCATAATAAAAGGTGAGACTGATTGAGGAAACTGCGTTCCAAGCAAAAAGGGAGCTTGATACAGAGAGAAACGTCAGATGAGATTCTATTTGCCTGTGGTTTAAAAAAAAAATCTAAATTGTGGGGCAGTTTGTCACAATGTTGCATTCCTGGATTGATCTTTAGAGCATTTAATAGACTTAATCAAACTCCTAAACAGGCTCTCCTGCAATCTTCCTGACATCTATTTATCTTCTCTCTTAGCATTCATGCCTCTTCGGTTAGGATTCCAAAGTATACATGAGAACAACTGAATGTTCACTTGAGCTGATAGGTAGGAGTATGTGCATAACAAAATCAGAAGATGGACAGATGGTGATTGCAGCCCGGGTCTTTAAGCTGATGTTCCCTCTGCCGGGAGGTACATTGAGTGTACAAACCCACTTCTTCCCAGTGTTAATTATGTTTAATAATTTTACTGGACTCTGAAAATGATTTTGCTCAGCAGTGCTTATTATCAAAGCACAGCTTCTTTTAAGAATAGGACAATGAAAAGTTAGGGCATGTGTTTGCCTGCAGAAAAGAATAGATTCCACATTTCACCTTAACATATTACTTGTCTAGTTACAGAAGGTGAATGTTGCATAACTCTCTGCTTTTGAATAATATGTTCTTCCCAAAAACTGGGGAGAATGAAAGATATTTGATAGTTTGGAAATGAGTAAAGCACATTTACAAATCTCTTAGATGAAAAATGATGTTTGTGATAAAACAAACCCCATTCTATTCATTTTTAATAGTAGTTAGTTTATAGAGTTATACTGGTATTACCCAGGTCCTTATAATTCTTGAAAGTAAAGCACAGTCATTTAATCATGACGTATAAAACAGCTATCCATGTCCATCTGTACTCTGGCTTGAGTAATGTGTGTGGCACTGACCAGTCCTTTCTGCAGGTGACCTGAAGGATGCCCATGGTGTCCACGGTATGTGTGATTTGTGTCCTAGCCTTGTCCCTTACTGGCTCTGTGACACCAGGATATTATAGTCCCTATCCCTTCTGTTTCAGGTTCAGCACTGTACAATAGAGATAATGATACCAACTGCTTATACAGGGGTGAGGATTTCATTTGTTAATATAAACATTCAATATGAAGAGCTCCTGTCCCCTGTGCCCCCCACTCCAGCCCCAAGGTTTGAGAAGGAAAAAGTCATACGTGCTTTTGACTAACATATGCAGTATTTCTGGTAAAGCAGTGAAGCTATTCTATGATTGCGTGTATGAGAGAGAAAGAGAGAGGGAGGGAGGAAGGGAGAGACAGAGACAGAGACAGAGAGAAAAGGTTGCCTGATGGGTGTGGTGATTTCCTGTCCTGGATTCTGTCTTGGTCGGACTCTGCATCCTTCCCTCGGCATAGGGTCTGTACGAGCCAGCATGCTTAGGGTCAAGGTCAATAAGGACAGCAGATTGGCTCTACTTAGCCACTGGGTATGTTGCTGCTCTGTGGGAAACTAAGGATTGACCAAACTGTTTGCTTTAGAATTACAGAAATTTGTAATTGAAATCTGAGTTGCTCTTATGCCAGAAAAATGAAATCAAACTTCATCACCTCATGTTTGAAAAGAACTATCAAAGGAAGGCTAAGCAATGTTTTTGAAGTTTTAAAAAAATTATTATTAATTCTCTCAACATCTGCTTCGTTTGCTAGGCAACTCCTCTGGATACCTGGAGCCCTCAACATGCCTGAGCAGAGCAACGACTACAGGGTGGCCGTGTTCGGGGCAGGGGGAGTGGGCAAGAGCTCCCTGGTCCTGAGGTTTGTGAAGGGCACGTTCCGGGAGAGCTACATCCCCACAGTGGAGGATACCTACCGGCAGGTGATCAGCTGTGACAAGAGCATCTGCACACTGCAGATCACCGACACCACAGGCAGCCACCAGTTCCCGGCCATGCAGCGGCTGTCCATCTCCAAGGGCCACGCCTTCATCCTCGTCTACTCCATCACCAGCCGGCAGTCGCTGGAGGAGCTCAAGCCCATCTATGAGCAGATCTGTGAGATCAAAGGGGATGTGGACAGCATCCCCATAATGCTGGTGGGTAACAAGTGCGACGAGAGCCCCAGCCGCGAGGTGCAGAGCAGCGAGGCTGAGGCGCTGGCGCGCACGTGGAAGTGTGCCTTCATGGAGACCTCGGCCAAGCTCAACCACAATGTGAAGGAGCTGTTCCAGGAGCTGCTCAACCTGGAGAAGCGCAGGACCGTGAGCCTCCAGATCGACGGTAAGAAGAGCAAGCAGCAGAAAAGGAAAGAGAAGCTGAAGGGCAAGTGCGTGGTCATGTGAAGGCCCCGGCTCCCCCGTGCCACAGAGGGGCAGCTGCGCCTGGTGGCGCCCCTCCCCAGTATACCCTCCTCGTCTGGGCAGCATGTCTGAGGCCCACATGTGACACATTGCATCTGCCCGAGCGCGGCCTCATGTCCCTACCAGGGTGGTCCACACCACTCTACCATCGGCCACCCTTCTCTGGAGCCACAGACCTGCCTCCTGGCTAAAAGGAAATGCAACAGTTCAGGCCAGCTGGGAGAGGTGCTAGCCACTGCACTTGTGGGCATCTTTGGCCATTAGGAGGTAGGAGGACTGGACCCCAGGGAAGAAGAATAAGCGGAGGGGATACATGTCATCTACATGTGTGTTGAAACATGTTAGCCCTGAGTTACAGGTACCAACCCCACACCAGGCATCTCTCCCTACTCAGAAGCCAGTACCATCTTGCGGGGGTGGGGTAGTGAGAAGACCAGCTGGTCCCAAGTGGACACAACAGTTCCCTTTCACAGGTTTTTAAGTGGACCCCCAAAGGATATGCGTGCCCCATCCATCCCCCCTTCCTTTCCCTGAGGGGATGATTCACCTTCTGTAGATCTAGTTACCACGCATCTTAGCTGAGTAGAGCACTTATTTTCACATGCAGCGATGAGTTCACTTATGGTGTGCTCTTGTGTCAGAAGTTGTTGTTCAGTTTTTGAGTAAAGGTATTGTGACATTCTTAAAACATCGCAATAATGTTCTTGTGTGTTACACTTTGAGGGTTTTAGAAATGTGAAGTTTCTTTCCTTTGGTCTGGGAGGGCTATATCTTCTTCCAGCCCTCATATTTTTAAATAAAAGCAAATAAAGTAGCTATTTTTAAACTTTTTTCCCCTTCTCAGACAGGTTTCTTCTTTTAAATAACTTGGTCAGTACCCAGCTGGGTAGCAGCCAACAAAGGCCCGCCAACAACCAGAAGCACATCCATTTTTCTAAATGACACAAACATGTACGTGCCACATTTTGCACCTCAAGGAAATACTTTGAAATATAACGTGTTCACTGTGTTTTTGATGATCCACCTATCTTGGAATACACTCCTGAAAATGCATTGAATTATTAGTTCTCTTGCACATTCCACTCTACTTGTCCTCTAAGAGCTGTTCAATGCAGTGTTTGCCCAAGAAAACAGCTGTCTTCTAATGATTGTGTGTACATGCTTAATTCTTCAGATTAAATTATGCCCCTGCTGGCTTCCATGCATGGTGTGGCGAAGGTGGCAGCTGCAGAAGGCCTGGTGCTCTGTCCTAGGTGGAGTCCACTCAGCCCAATGCTCCGCTGCAGCTCATGGAGTCTACTTGAGCTCTGTTTCTTGAAAGTGTCCTCAGCAGAGGCTTTTGGTTCAATTGGCAGAGCTTAGCCTGCTGTCCTACTGGACCATCCTCTTGGCCATCTTTCCTGTTGCCCACCCACCAGGCAGAGAAAGCTGTAGTCCTACATGAGTCTGCAGACAGAGCCTTTTGTCTCTTGAGCAGAAGTGCCCACGCTGGGCAGTGCTCCCAAGCTGGGGTAGTTGTGTGTACCATCTTCTGTGCCTGCTGTGTTGACTGCCCCTTCTGCACAGGGCTTCCTACAGCAGCCACATGATCACCTCGGTCCTCCCCAGCACACTGTGCTCTCAGCAGATTCTGGTTCCCTCCAGCCCTCTCTAGCCCTGCTCCCTTGCTGGGTCTCCTCTCAGCACCACCTTGCTCGCTCTGGTGATGTGCAGTGTGTGGGTGACCTTGGAGCATCTCTTGGCTCCGTGTTCTTCCCATCTCAGCCCTCTAGGACAGCCTCTCTCTGACTGCACTGGAAAGGGACAGCTGTGCAGGAAAGGGACATTCACAGTGAGAAAAGAAGGGCTGGGCGTGGAGCCGTCGGGAGCTCAGCCTGTGGCTAGTTCCACACTCTTGAAATCCCTCCTGGGGGCTCCCATTTCCAGTGAGATCTAGCAGCCGGCTTTTCTGCAGCATCTCTTCCTGTTTGTTGCTGTCTTGTTTCCACTTCTATTCTTAGAGATGATCAGTTTGCCATTTGGGTGTGAGCAAAGTGGAAGTGGCCACAGAATCTTGCGGCCAACACAGAGGGCAGAGATTTGGGTATGTTCTCTGCTAAAAGCAAAATCTGATCCTCACCTCCATCTGTCAGGTTGGTGAGACTTGTATTGTGAGTGCTTCCTGCCGAACATCACACTCCTACTGATCAGGAGCCAAGATTTCCTTCAGTCCTGTGAAGGCAGTTTCCACATTTGTTGTAACTGTTTAGGGCTTTATCAATACGAGAAGCTGATAATGACTGAGAATCAGATCTCATTCAAGATGAAGTTTGTTCCTTCATGTTTCATACATGAGTTTAGAGGAAAGGAAAGCCAGGAGGACCTCCACTCTGGGTCTTCACTCTGAGATCATTTCCTATGAACTGGATGGAGGATACCAGTGGTTCTTTCAACATCATCTTTTAGGGCTCCCCAACTGACTCAGGGCTTGAGGAGTTATTATGTAGTGCTGGGTCAGATGACTTTCAGCATTTGTTTGGTTCCACCCCAAATACGGAATTTTTGTTCTTGAAGACACATCCTACATTGTACGCAGGCACAGAAGTTTCTGATCCAGCCCCAGTAAGTTAAAAACTCAAAATATTGCTTTGAAGATGGCATGGTGGGATTAAGCGTGGAGCTCCGTAAGTTGCCCTGCGTCCCCGTTGCCCCCTCTCCACCCAGCAACAAGCCATGGGCCTGCATACAGTGCAGCAAGACCAACACAGAGCAATACTGAATTGTTCATTATATCTAAAATTATATATATTATATAATTTATCTTCCTGCATTTTTGAAGTATAAAGTAGTAAATTGTACATATCTGTAAGCTAGTGTATTTGTTTCACTGTTTGTAATATTTACGAAATGTTCATTCTTTGTAGAACAAAAAATGTATTAAATATTTTTAAAAACTGCTCTGTAATACTTCTTCCTCCCAGATTTGTAGTGTGTTACTCCTACACAAACTCTCTGGAAACCCTGTAACTCATGGGCCACATGGAAATCCTTGAAGACACATTCTGGAGTTCAGCAGTCCACAAGCCTGTATGTAGACAGTATTTGCAGAGCGTGACTTTTGTACGTGTGAGATATCAACATGTATATATTTAAGGTGTATCTACTGTTACAATTCCATTCTCTATTATATTTTATTTACTCTCCAGTTACAAAACTCACCCTTGCATATGAGTTTCTAGTTGCAGTGATGTTCTGGAAATGATGGAACATGTTACAATAAAGCTCAGTTATGACGCCCTGGCTGCAAGGTGGTGATGTTTCCCAAGGGTGTACTGGTCTCCATGGCTTTGCCCTTTTCACAGCCAGTGCTTGATCCATGCTGATTGGTGACCTGAGGAACTCCGGGTCTGTGCCCATCTTGGGTGGGAAGCAGCAGCTTGCCTCGTGGTATCCTGTGACATCTCCCTCACTGGGCCCTGTTATCACCGTGTGTACCGAGCTCCTGGTTCCTCACATGTCCAGGGATGAAATCACAAACCAATAGCAGAGGTTAGGTGAGTGTTACTGGAAATAATAAGAATTCTCTCCTCCATCATTTCCAAGTGGGCGGCCTTGTGGCCTGTTGCTCTAGACTCAGAGATAGGCAGAGCACGGGAATTGCTCCATTGTTTTAGTGGTCACCTATCATGGGGTCTCCCCAGACAAAACTGCGATCCAAACTCAGGCTCTTCAACCCAGTTCTCACATGTAGAGTTTAAAGGAAACGTATTTTGCAGGGGCGGGGATCTGGTTAGCGTGCATTTTAAGTTCCTCAGAACTAAGGAGCTTAGTAGGGAGTGGCTGCACTTCCCTTTAGCTGGGAAGGGCTGCACCCCACACTGCCTAAGAAAGTTCATCCTTGGTCCAAAGTCCTAGGTCCCTCGCCATTCTCATTTCCGTCTCGTCAATGTGGCTGATCACTTAGCTCTATCCCAGGCCCAGCCTCTCGCTGCTGCCTTACTCAGAAGCTAACAGCTGTTTTCTACACTATTGCAGGTGAAAGTGAAAGCAGATGTTTTAGCAGGAACAAGTGACAGGGAATAGTGGCAGGGCCTACCCGGTCAAACAAGGAGAGACAAACCCCTTGTGTTGTAGTTCTGCACCCCTGCCTGCTGCAGGCTGGTACATGAGCTTGTGATAAGAAGCCACTGGCGTTGTTCCTGGCGCGGTTTCTACTTGGCCTTTATTCCTCCTCATGCACACTGTGAGATAAAGTTTCATTTTCAGAACACAAAACAGACCAGAAACTACAAACAAAATCCACTCTGCCACTGACTGGCTGAGGGACCGGAGGCTCCTAACCCATCTGTGCTTCTGCAAAATGGGAACCCCCGACACCTGCAGGGGGGCAGCCCTGTGGGTTAGGACAGTCTGCTTCAAGTGCTCTGAGCCATCTTGTCACATATGGAGCTTTCAGGGCAACAAACAGAAACCTGTCTGGGGAGGATTCTGTGCAGAAGGCGTTGCAGTGCAAAAAACAAGCTATGCCAGTGCAAAATCCACGGGCAACTTTCCATTTCTCTTAAGTCTCTTTGCAGCTCTCCGGTCACATTCTCGGCAGGCCACTTTTCCTTCCATGTGCCCTTTCCATTCCTGTACGTCTTTCCCCATAGTTATTGCCACATCATTCAAGACTTCTTATTTCTGGAGATAATTAGAACCAGCGAGTCCCATTAGGCATCATTACTGGGCACGCGGGTCCTCATCAAACTTTTAATGTGCAACTGAGACAGCACGTCAGAGTTTTGTGATTCCACAGTGTCCAAGACAGCCGGTCTCAGTGCGGTCTGGGATTCTGTGTTTCCAGTAGGTTCCCAGTGGTTCTGGGCACACAGACCACTCAGGAGCAAGGCCAAAATCCAGGTGTTCTCTCTCCAATGTTGCAACACTGAAATCACCTGGAAGAGTTTTTAAAGTGACTGATGCCAGACTCTTCTTCAGCAATAAAAGGCCCCAGGCTATTCTGGAATCCAGTTTAAAAATCACCCGCTTCCTTAGCTGAGTTTAACTGGGAATGTCTGCCAACCCCTCAGTCCCCTGAGGGAAGCGGGTGCTTGTTCACTCACATTCCCCTTCATTGAATAAATTGATGGTATTAGTGTGAGAGTCTTGGCCTCCTCCTTCTTCAACTCCATCCTCTCCTCCATCATAGCCCCTTCGAAAGTTGCTCTTGGAGGAAATTAAACCCAGCATAGAGCTGGTACCACCCACACTACCAGGAAGTCTCACAGCGCAGGGTGTGATGTGACTTCATTGGTCTTGGGTGTGAACCCCAACATCTGTCAAGAGTGCCCCCACTTGCTCCTGTCCAGCCCCTGTCTGGCCTGTGCTCCCAGTATGGTGCAAGTTCCATTCCTGGTAAGGACTCCCGCTCTCGGGACCTGGGCCTGTCCTGTCTGGCTTGCCCTGGATACCAGGGCTGTGGTCTGCAGCAGGCTCCTTACAGCCCACCCTCAGGGGCATGGTGCATTTGCTGACTTCCTTTGACCCTCTGATACTGCTGCCTCCTACTTGGCTGTGAACATCTCTGCCTTCTTTGGTTCACTTTTCTGGATTGTTCTCATTCAACTTCCCTTTCCTTCTCTATTGACCTTTTCTTAATTACCAGAAGGTGTTGCCAGTCCCATTCTATCACAAGTCATTATGGGCTCACCTAGGCTGGCGTCTATCTCTAACATCTTCTATTGCTGTGGTGCATGATGCAGTGCATAACAAAACATGCTATAAAACCATAAAGGTCAGATAAACAAGCTATGCCACCACAGTCCCCATATAGTTATTATCCTTAGGATTGGTTTCCTTCTGTAACGCCTCACAATTGTCTCTTTGCCTTGCAGCATGGGTGTGTTTAGCTGAGGTGGGTGGAGGAAATGAAAACATTTTCCAGCTGGACATCTGTAGAGAGGGAGGTGATTCCCTTCTTAATAAATTTAAAGTGAAAGTTATAAAGATTCTTTGTTAGTGGCAACAAAGACATATAAGGTAGAAATGAAATGTCTTCTTAATTCTTGCCTAATGTTTAGGTGGTATTTTTGGCAGTCTGTTTAACAGCAAATACATACTAGCTTTCAAGAAGTATGTCTCCACCGCGCATTATCTCTGTGTGCTCCTCCGTGCATGAATGTGTTCAAACACAGTAGTGCAACCGCCCCATGTTAGATAGCATACAGCAGCCCCAGGGCTCAAATTACAACCTGAGGGTGTGTTTCAGGACTGGGGCTGGAGATCGGTTTGAAGATGCCATTGTCACTAACACTGGCAGCACACGATTGTCACGAGAGTGTGTCCTGGCTCACTGGTCTGGTTGTGCTGAGTCCTCTGCTTGGAAATCCTTCCTGTCTCCCTGCCTATCCTGACCCATTAGAATCTTTGCCTGTACTCAGGCTATCCTCGAATGACCCCCTCTATGAAGATTTCTCTTTTTATGAAGTCAGAAGACTTCTCTTCCTCTTCAAAATTCTTTTGACTTGACCTTGATGGCTTTTATACCATGTTTCATTCAGCCGAAGTTATTTCTGCATACATCCTGACTGGCTTCGTAATAGTTAACTGATTTCATCACTGAACTCTTTCAACAAGCTGACCTCTGCTCTGGACCAGTGAGAATTCTGGGAACTTCTGTGGGACGAACAGCATAGCTACCGGAGCCTGCAGAAGGAGTCTGTACAGTCCTCTGGATGCTCCCATTTGTCCATGAACTTCTGGTGCACAGTAGGACTGCACTTCCGGCACTGTTGTGAATGGAGGGATCTGACTTTTTCTGTCCGAGGAGTTGAGAGAGGAAGAGCCAAGGGTCCTTTCAGGCTAGAACAGTTGTGGCCAGTGGGAGACTCTCGGAGCACCCCTTTCCCCCCAGCAACATCGTGGGGTGGTGCTCTCTTGTCCTGCTCTCCTGAGCCAGCAGGAGGCGACCTCGCGAGAGCAGAGCTCCTGCAGATTAGGTTGTGATGGATGTGCAGCCAGGGGAAGGAGATCTGGGAAAAGCCCAGCTGACCCTTGCCAAAGCACCACTTGTGATATATATCCTCAAAGAAGAGCTTTTCCTTCTTGTCAGTCTTTCCCCTTTAAAATTCAACTAACAAATGAATCCATAAAATATATGCAACATAAATACATGCAGTGCTATGAAGGTATAAGTTCTTAAGAAATGCTTGCTATTTGTGCTCTTTGATAGATTATGTAAAACAAATAACTTCCAAACTTAATCCAACTGTTTCTTGGGGGTACTGGGGACCAAATCCAGGAAATCCAGGGGCACTGCACATGTTATAAAGCACCCCCTAGCCCCAACTATTGTTAGCAAAAAATAAGTTAGACTGCAGAAATTATGCAACAATTGGACAACAGTTAGATAACTGGATAAGGAGTATGCAGGCATTCTGAAGTTGCTTGTCTTTACTCCAAGTCAGTATGGTACATGAGGTTGGCCAGTTCACTAATTTGTGAGATATTTCATAGTTTCCAAGAAAAAGGCAATGAAAAGATATTTTTCCCCTAGAAATTTTGCAGACTCATTGACTTACACAGAAATCTCATTGCATTCCTACCAGTGCTATTCTCGGCAGCTATTCCTAAGCAATGGGACTTTTGCCATGTAAGGTGATCTCTTAACTTTGGACATTTCTTCTTGGCTGGTACATTTTCAAGTGTGTTGCATGAACCTTCCTATTTTTGTCAAATTGTGTCCCTTTCCTTCATACATCTAATTCATGTTCCATTGCAGCACAGAGGAAGAGTAAAAATAATAGAACAGTTACAATGGCATGAAACACTGAAGTGTCCTGTGCACAGCACTGATTATCCTATGAGCATGATGATTTTCTAAATCAAGAATGCCATCCCTCAAGCCCCACTTTCACAAATAAAAGTAGGGGATAAGACAAAAATACCTGCAGGTTTGATATTTTGGGTCTGATATTTCATAACAATGCATTTTTTTCTTAATGAATATCTATCAGTTCATCAAACTTGCTCTGTCATGAAAAAGTCCATCAAGATCTTTTTTAAAATCAGAGCAAATATTAAGTAATGCTTTCAAGTGTGAAATTCATAAGCTGTGAAAGGAAGATAAGAAACTAAAACATTGTATTTTTTTGTAGCAGAAAGAAAACCAAGTCATGTGCAGAGATGCCTGTAAAACCAAAGTTTGTTACAATAGTCTCCCAGACAAAGAGCTACTGGCTTTGGTTAAAATGCCTTTGTCGTTGGACATCATACATGGGACGCAGTGTCAAAGAGCAGAGGGAAATGTACCAGTCTTGGC